ACTTTGGAGGAGCTTTGTCTCATAACGTTTTGCCAGGGCATCTATTTTAATTATAGGTCCTCTGCGTACATAGTATGGCTTCCAGTTTTGTGTTTTTATGGGATTCCTGTGTATGCTAATATGTGGCTCTTTGTCTATATGTTTCTCTTGCTTTTTCTTTTTTATCTGACTCTCTTTCTTCTGTTTGTTTTGTCTTCTTCTGATTTTTTTGTTTCTGTATTATCTTATTTTATTATTCTTTGGATGCCTGTTTATCTTCTAAGGAAAGTTAGAAAGGGTATGGATTTGGATAGGAGGGGAGGTAGGATGGATCTCAGACAAACTGGGGAGGGGAAACCATAACAAGAATGTATTATATGAAAAAAATCTATTTTTAGTAAAAGAAAAAGAAAGTGGCTGGCTAGGACATTCTCTCCCTACTAATAAATAAGTTCTCAGAGAATGTAACATAGTAATGAACAATTCTAAAAACAAAGGTAGAGGTATTTTGGTTTTGTATTGTAGTTTACAAAACAAACAAAAAATAGTATTCATTTATTAGCCTTCTTTCAACAGTAAATATTCCATTTTTAAGAATAAAAAAGCAATTATTCATTAATTACCATGTTCAAGTTATACATAAACATTAAGAAATTAAATGTCAGCATCAAGTTGAGATGCCTATGAGAAAATGAATACAAGAGAAGTGTAAATGGTTAAAAAAAGAAGACTGAAGCTGAATGTTCAAGTTACAGAAGTACTTTAAATATATTCCATTAAAATGAAGTTAACATGGGTTTCTGGATGCTGAAATTCTATTAAAATGACACAAGAGTGCAATCTATCAAAAACAGGAACAGGAGGAAGAGCTCAGAGTAAAATATCTCAACTTCTTGCTTGAGTCAGGAAGAAGATAAAAGAATGATAATTGATGAAACGGCCAAGAAAGCATAATATACTGTGGCCTGGAAAAGAACAAGGGTAGAAGAAGCAGGTGAGGCTACACTATCATTAACTCCAGGTTCACAAGTTGGAGTCAAATGTCTGAGAGAACTAAAACCAACATATTCACAGTCAGATTTTCTCTTATTCTTATACAATATGAGAAAAAGATGCAAAGAAACCAGCAATAGTTGAGGGGTGTGTGGCTACTTTAGAAAAAGAAAATCATCTATATGGAAAAAGAAATATCTTTTAAAATCTCAGTATAAAACTGAGATTCCAGAAGCACTCTCAAAAAACATGTTACAAACAGACAAGAAGCTGGGGACATGGTGCAGCAGGTAAGGTGCTTCCTGGAAAGCATGAGACATAAGCTATACTGGAGTTCAGATATCCAGCATCTAGGTAAAAACAGTAACAACAACAAACAAAATTATACACAGTAGCTTGTCTGTATTCCCAATGCTGCGGATGCGGAAAAAGTAAGATTATTGCAGCTTACTGGCCAGGTACTGTATTCTGTCCAATTCTAGGCCAAGTCAGAAATTCTGTGTCAAAAAATAAGGTAAAGAAGCAGTTGAGAAAGTGACCTACTATCAACCTCTAGCCTCCACATGTGCACGCGCGCACACACACACACACACACACACACACACACACACACACACACACACACAGAGAGAACAGACTGGACTAGGAACTCAAGCCCATTCTGCTCAATCAAGGAACATCTTCTCCTTAAAAATTACAAAGGCACGAAAAAAATATTTGGGAAAATAGAAGTTAGATAACTTCTTACCAGGCAGTACTGGAGGTAAAGGAAACATGAAGAAAATCAAGAAGAGAAAAATCATCAAACAAGTAACAAAAGAGGACTTGCCATGGCCATCCTTACACTGTAAGTCCTCTGGCTCTGCCATTTTTTGTTATATTTGACATTAAATATGTCCCTTTCAAAATAAAAAAGTAAAAGGCAATGGGCTATTAAATATCTATGTCCCATAGTAAACATCTCTCCATGCAAGTAGAAGTTACCTTCTGCCAGTCACCATTGACTCTATTCTGTTAGGACCAAACCATTCCTGGTCCAGTCGATACAGCCAGAGGTAGGCCCTATTGTAAATGGGCTAGACATACAGGTTGTCATGTAGACTTTAAGGTTGTCATCAACCAAGGGTAAGCTTTTAAAGAGACATCCTACAAGCAGGCAATTATAGTACATTTACAGGAAAGCATGTGTTGATGTTCACTAAAAACTGTGGGCAAAATACAAACATTTACAAAGTGTAAGACTTTGAAAGGATTGGCCATTTAGAATGTCCTAAAGAAACATTTTACTGAATTGGGAACAGTGGGAAGAAACCTCAGATCTAGAATGAAACAGTATAAATCAGTAGAGGAAAGAAAATTTATGGATCCTTAGATATGGTTTTATAGAAAAAAGATGCTAATTTGTATCTTCTAATATGCTTTATTAAAAAACCTTACAATTAATAAATTACCAGCTTCAGAAAAGGAAGGTTACACTACATTAAACTAAAAAAGAATCACAATTACACTTCAATACTAGGATATGAAAGACAAGTCATAAAACCAAATATCTTACAAACACCTTCAGATACTATATCAGACTCACAGCTACCTAACAATTGAAGAGATATGATAGACTGCTACATTTCTGTTAGTTTTTCTGACTTCAACAAAACAGGAGACTTGCAATTCTTCACCTCTTCAAGTTTATGATTCTAAGACTTTGCTACTTAATCAAATTGAATTATTTGCAAAATGGAGTTCACCCTAGACAAAATATGGCTCTCATGGTTAAAGGGAAAAATGCATAAAAACAAGAGAGAAGTAACACAACAGTATAACCTGTTAGGAATAAACAATTTAAACAAAAGTAAGTCCTGGTGCTTCAATATAGCATTAACATTCAAAAGATTAAAGTGCAATTCTTTTACCTAGCAACAGTTGAGGCAAACTTGGAAATTATAGCCTTTCTCAAGTTAGTTTTTCTTTTCCATAATTACTCAAGTTTTCATTAGGATATATGAGACCTCTACTAGAATCTTTGTACCAGGGATTTGCAAATGGATTTAACTTTAAAAGCTTAGCTATATAATTTCTTTCATAAAAGTAATATATTTCTGATATTGATGTCTTTAAAATATCCTATAGTAAAATTAATATTTTTACACAGGAAAAGAAGGAACTATTTAGTCCCAGACAACTTGATAACATCTCTTTCAACTATAGTTATAATTATCATGTATGAAATTGCAAAGCAGAAGTTGTCAAGATTTAACATTAGCATTAATTTATGTCATAATTGACGGTTACTATCAAGATAATGGCAAAGCATCCATTTCTCCAAAGACACCATGGAGAGAAAGGGGATTTCTTCTTAATTACTACTAATCTGTTCACTTTTAATTAAACTGATTAGTAATTTATTATCATTCCCTTTCCTGGATGGCTGTTATTATCACAGGATTTCTTCAAAGTTACCACATTTGTGATTTTTAAGCAACCCAGTTATTTTTAGTGCAAGATCCACCATTTTGTAATATTGATTTATACTGAAATGTCAATATCCAGTTTCAGTGTATTTGGAGAACCAAATGTGAAAATACAAGATCTATACTGCGTTTTTACATCTCCAAGTGAACAATGTTAGCTGCCCCTTTCTGGAGAGACAACCATGCTTCCTCCTTGTTTGGTAATCAAGTAGCTACAATGAGCATGCAGCTTCCAAGGACAGTCTCTGCAGAGTATCCACTTCGTATGCTGTCCAACTAAACTGCAAGCTGCAAAACAACAGTTCCCTGTGCTTCTTTGTAAGATAAAAACGTTCTGACAAAAAATAGGAACTGTTTTAATTAAACTACTTTAAATGTACTTAGGCATCTGGTCATTTTCTTAATCAAAACTGTTAAAACAGAGCTTTGATTAATATCATCTATTTGGGACTAGGAATGTTCATTACAAAACTTTGGAGAGGGCTGAACTTCTCACAGAGTGAAGATATGTAATGGTACAGGAAAGAACGGAAAGTTTTTTTCTTTCCCCTGTAAAAATATTGAGATACTAGGTACACACTGACTTAAGTTCCCCATCAGTATGCCTTATGTGAACTGATGATGTATAAGGGCTGAATAAACATTTGTATTGAGGAAGAACACTGAACCATCCACATGTAATTGATTATCAATGAGAATGCAGTGGTAATTGTTCAGTATAATCTCCTTCAGCATTCACTGAGTGAAGTATCTACTAGATACATGAACCTACATTTTTCTCCAAAATTTTGTGTGCTGGAACTATTCATGAATGAATGATGGACAACAAAATACATCAGTCATGTTCTTTGTTCCTGTTCTTACTCTTGCAACTAGAAAGTGTAATCTAATAAAGAAACAGAACTCATCAGTTTGTTTAGTAGGGATTCTAAACGAAATCTGCTTAAGGAAAAACAAAAAAGATTGAATGCTATTGGTTTTTAATATCCTGAAGAAAAAGAAGTATCATTTAACAAGGGGGTTAGAATGAAGGCTATGCAGTTAAAAGTGCTGGTACCTGGTTCAGTCCTACGCTGGTTCCTGGGGGTGGTGGGGGCATAGGAGGATGGGAGGGAGAGGGAACTGGGATCAGTATGCAAAATAAGATTGTTTTTAATTTAAATTTAAAAAAAGAAAAAAGTGCTGGTACCTGGCACCCACATGGAAGTTTACAACCATCTATAACTCTAGTTTCAGGTAATGTAATTCTCTTTTCTGGCCTCCATAGGTACCAGGTATGCACATGGTACACAAGCATATATGCAGGCAAAACACACATACACATAAAATAAAAAGAATAGAAAATTTTCATGCAACAAGCCTAAAGGCACATTTATACTCAAAGTCTTATTTTTCCACAGTCTATAAAGACCTACTAACATTTTTTGTTACCTTCTCCTCAAAAGATAAAATATACTTTCAAAGAATTAGCTGGACTATGAACAGTTGCAAAGTATTTAATACTAAGTAACTCAATAAACCAAAGTTACAAAGTTCAAAAAGGATAGTTACTCTGCATACCTTAACCAGTTTCAATAATTCATAGAGATCTTCAACCTCATCGCCTTCACACCTGCTATACATTCTTCCTGTCTCCAAGCTTCTTCCTCTTATGGTTCTGCGGTACAGGGGAAGAGCCATAGCTTCTGCATACAGGTCAATTGCATGGTGACCCACTGTCTGATACATGTAGCTATCCAGCTCATCTGACTCCACTGTAAGAGTTATGTAGAAATAATTAGTAAGACAAAGCAAAAACAAATAGACTTTAAAAAGTAACTTTTACCACTTGAAGAATAGTCTACACCAAGCTTAAAAACTTATAAGTAAAATAATATATAAGCATTTGCCCACAGCTAAATTTAGTTCATTTCAGCTCTAATCATCTGTGTTTCTAATTATTAACAGGATTACATTTATATTTTTAAAATTATATGCAACATTTAAAGATGAGTAATGTATCTAATAAATTTTAAATTACTCAGAAATTATATGACATAAGTTTATTCAAATCATTCAGGTTATTCAAAAATCATCTAGACTTTAATAAAACATTTTCTTAAATAGATACCTACTTAGTAAGTGATACATATTTGGCAGAAAAAAAAGATATACTTGGTATATCTAATAAAATCTATACATGAACAAAATATACACATGTAAATTCAATATTAGTTACAGCAGTTACCAAAATATTGGAAACATGATAATTAAATCTAATCCATGATACAATCACCAGTTGTCTCAAGATTCCACAAATATCATTATGGGTAAAGAATTTACTACAGCATTATTTGTAATAAATTAAGAGCTATGCTATAGTCGTATAATAAAGTGATATGCAGTCTTTCATGCACTTTCTAAACTGTATTCTCCAGACTACAAATCCTGTAAGATGTTAATACTTAAAAGGGGGGGGTAATTATGCATCAAGTATGTTTTAAATGTAGCTAAATAAGTCTAATTAGATGAGTTTGCTGAAATTTTTCATAGACTAATATGCTTTCACTTCCTCCAGTAAGAGGACTGAGTATGAATATCTCAAAATGATTCCCATGCCGTTTACATTTCATACAGAGAAGACAGAAAAAAACATAATGAGACGAATATTTAGTGCAACTGAAACTGTTCACAATATGTTAAGTAGCAAAATACCAGACTACAAAATAGTTTTGACAGACACATATGTACAGGTATGTTTTCAACTGTGGAAATAGTCTATTAAAGGGAATGAATAACAGTGTAAACGTCCTTCAATGCTATCATATGCCATCTCATTTTGGCTCATCAGATTTCTGACCCCCACAGCTGTAAATAAAAGGGTCCAGCCAAAGAAACACACCCTGAGCACAGCCAAAGAAACACACTTTGGCCCTACAACAAGAACCAAAGAAATGCACCCTGACCCTGAAACCAGTGCCAAAGAAACACACTTTTCCCTGGAATCAGAGTCAGTGAAAGAAATACATCCTGGCCCTAAAATTAGAGCCAAAAGGCTAAAAAGGACCAGAGAAAGAAACACACTTTGGCCCTAAAACCAGAGCCAAATCTGACCCTAACCCTTTGCAGAAAACTAAACAATCCTTGAGCAGGAGCTCTAGCTAATATGAGCTCAGCTTTGAAATCTGACCAATCCCCACCCTGGAAGCCCTATATAAACCCTGTGTCTGTTCAGCTTGTGACTGTTTGTGCTACCCGGCTGTCCTCTGCCACTCTAGAAGAAGGCAGCCCCTCTCCTGGATTCTTCCCTCCCAATAAACCCTTTGATGAGCTTTGGGTGAAGACCTTCTTTTGCAGCAGAGCAGGGACGACCCTGGGCAGAGCAGAGCTAGCAGGGCTGTAACACTTTTGCTGGGGAAACCTTCCCCTGACAGAGCTGAGTTCTTACACTCAGCTCTCTACTCTCCTCAGAGCAGAGCTGAACTGTAGCAACTTCCACCAGGGAAACCTTCTCCTGCCTGAGCAAAACTGCTACACTGGGCAAACATTCACAGATGGAAGACCCTCTCCTGCTGGGAAAGCCTTTCCCTGAGGCAGGGCTGTAAGCTGCTAAGCTTACTGTGGCCTGTGCTAGTCCTTGGCTCCCAAATTCCAGGATACCTTTTCCATCTGGGCTGTGTAACACTTAGTATTCTGTGACTCCCGAGTGCCAGAATACCTGTCCTATTCGATCCATCCAAAATGCCTACAACAGCGGCCTGGCTTCCTACAAAACAAGACTTACACATTATTATAAGTCTACTTGTCACCCCAATATGAACCAGATTTAGTCAAATCACTCTAAAACTTTCCCTCTTTCATCCAACCAAGTTAGAGTGAATACTTAATGTATTTTTACTAAAAAATAGGGTTCAAATAAATTTATTCCTTAAAACAAGCTTCATAGCAAGAAGCATCCTGAAATTAGTACAACTACTAAACACTGTAATGGCTTCAAAACCCAATATATGTTTATTAGGGCTCCTGAAGTCCTGACCACAACAACCTCCTGAGTGGAAGCTACATAGTAGCAACTGGGGTGAGAGCAAACAAAACCAAAGGCTCCACTGTCACCTAATGCACTTCAATTAACATACCACAAAGGCTCCTACTACAGCCTTCAAGAGATGCTCTGTTGCACATTATCCTCATTGATGGGGATGAATTCTTTCCAGAGTACATACTGAAAACCCATGCTGTGAAAAACATGATAGGTTGTGAATACATTATACCCAGCTTTGCTCATCAATGGAACCATGCATTCCTCAGTGAGGTTCCTTTCAGAGCATTTAAAGAGAGAAAAAAAATCATTCAGTGACACATTCAACAGTTCAACATCCTGGTGACATTAAATCAACATTATCAAACTCTGTCCATTGTTGACCCACAACAATCTATTCTCTTCTACACTGATTATACAGGGTAAGTTGATACTCCCAGCTTCCAGAATTATTCAAATACCCACCGAAGGAAACTGGCTAATTCAAATGAGTTCAGTACTCACTGGTCCACCAATAGACATCTACCACAGGTACAGAACTTCCAAGAGAGTCTAAAACACTACATCTGCTCTCAAGAGGCTCAGAATCTATTGAAGAGTACACAGGGAAGGCTTACTTGCTATGCTACACCTAAGAGAGCTAAGGGCATCTTTTCAATAGTGGCATTCATATAGTATAAACTAAGAACCAATGAAGCATCAGACTGTTTCTTACCAACTTGCAATACTGAAGCTAAGTTGCAGCTATTTAGAGAGTGGTCCAAAACAGTCACACACTTACCTTTGTTTTCATCTGGTCTCAGATTTGCTAAAGCAACAATGTGATGCCCTGCGGCAATGCACTGCATCATGTTGTAACAGCTGTCCTTCCCACCACTGAAAAACAAAGAGTGGAGAGAAGGGCATGAATGTCAGGCTCCTGATCATCATTAAACACAGAGTCACTGGACATCAAAATTGATCACATAGTTATTTTGCTTTTCAGACTCCATGAGAGACTATTTCACATTTACAGTATAACAGGACATATTTGTAAATAAGAAGAAAACTGAACACATGAATCTGAATGTCTAAGGCTGCTATATCTAGGAACTTATGAAACTGCAGGCATCTATAATACAGAAGTTCTAAACAAGGTACATTTGTGACAGTGGTTTTATGTAAGATAATAAGTGTTATGCACATAATAAATTATTCAAAATGATATCCTAGCTAAATGCTTATTCCATATAGTCCTTGGATGAAAGTCCCTAATTTAAAAAAATAAATTTAAGGGTACAGAGATGGTTTGGTGGTTAAGAGCACCAGATGCTCTTCCTCAAGACCTGGGTTCAACACCAAGCACTCACATGGATGCTTACAGCTATCTCTAATTCCAGTTCTAGGGATCCACTACCATTGTGGTCTCCATAAGCACCAGGACAGCAAGTAGTGTGCAGATATATACATGCATGTAACACACCCATAGAAATAAAGTAAAACATTACTTAATCTCGTCCAACTACAGGAAAGCCATCTATTGGCTTCCAATACCCATCAAAAGATGATACTAAAATCTCAATCCAAACTGTAATAGGCCTTGATATGCTTGATTCTAAATTCTATCCAATGACAATCCAAATGCTGACATATATCAATAGTCAAGCATTACCATAATCAGTATGTTAAGCATCACTGCCTAGACAATTTCATTGCAGGACTTCTCAAGAGGAAGAGAATACAAAGGAGTGTATTAGAAAGCTGAGGGGCCTGAATGTGAGTGACAGTTGGGGGGACTTGGGCAGTTTCTGGGGCCACTAGCAGTGGAACCAGTATTTATCCCTAGTGCAAAAACTGGCTCTTTGGAGCCCATTCCCTATGGAGGGTTACTCTCTCAGCCTAAATATAGGGGGAAGGGCCTTGGTCATGACCCAAATGATGTGACAGACTTTGATCCCCCATTGGAGGCCTCACCCTCTCTGAGGAGTGGATTGGGGAGTGATGGGGGGGGAACAGGAAGGGCAGGAGGGGGAGGGAACTAGGATTGGTATATAAAATAAGATTGTTTTAAATTAAAAAAAGAAAGTCCCAGGGTTCTTTTTTCATATGTGCTCCATAACTTTCTCTCTCAGATCTTATAACTGTGTTTCCCCTAAACAAGAAACAAACAACAAATAAAGTTGTATAATATATTAATGAGTCAAGGGTAAACATTCACAATCATTACTTAGCTTTGTGCTTTAAAATATTTCAAGCCTTTAAATATGGTTTCAAAGTATTTCCAAACCATATTCTGTAAAATGTGGAGTATTCAAAGAACAAATAGCTTTCAAGGGCAAGGAATCTGATGAATGCTGACAACTCTCCTATCCTTTCCTCTCCTCTTAGAACTCCATAAAGCAGCTAAGTACAGTCAGTCCCTCTGTCAACCCTCCAAAGCAGAGGGTTTCACATCTGTGAATTCAGATGACTGTAATAAAAATGTTTTAGGGGCATTCACCTGTATTGAACATAAAGCTTTTTTAAATTAATTCACTAAGACGTACAATGTAACAGCTATTAACATAGCATTTATTCTATAGGTATCATATCATCTAAAGACAGATTAAGGCATATGGTGAGAGGATGAATATCATGGGTTCTACATATCATTTTGTTTTGTTTTGTTTTTCCAGACAGGGTTTCTCTGTGACTTTGGAGACTTTCCTGGAACTAGCTCTTGTAGACCAGGCTGGTCTCGAACTCACAGAGACCCACCTGCGTCGGCCTCCCAAGTGCTGGGAAAAAAGGTGTGTGCCACCACTGCCCCACTCTCATATCATTTTATACAGAGTACTGTGTAACTGAAGATTTGGGTATGCCTGGGGATCCTGAAAGTAATCCCATAAATAACTGAGCACACTGTGTCACCTGATCAGTCCTGCAGAACAGATTTTTACTTTCTAAACCTAGGAACAAGCTTAGGCACAATGTATTTGGGCTTATATGTTCCATACACATTTACAAATCCTGCCTAGATAGTCTTCAAGTTTACATTCAACAGAGAAATTCTGTAGGCTACTTAAGCCCTTCATCTAGTGATATATAAGAATGTGTTTCATTTTGTCCTAAAATATACTTCATACCCAATCAATTGTTGTATACACACATTCAAATACACACATACAATGATACAATGCAAATAGACTTATCACAATGAATTTTAAATGTACATTTAGATGTTATACACAATTATATAGAATATGGAGACCTAATATACAGTACACATAAACAGGTCTATCTCCTAACATACAGTTCTTTAAAATGTGGCAATTTTTTCAAACAGCACTTCATTATTCAGTAACTTATTATCAAAGTAAGATACACTGAATATTGAGTATTTGGGGGAACAAACCATCCTGATCTTTTCTCCTCTCCAGTTTCCCCTGTTCTATCACTCAGTTGAGCTTTCTGTGAACTAAATACCAAGCACTAGCTTCCTGGCCTACTTTTACCTCTCATCTCCTTTCACCAAATAATCATAATGGTAAAAATTCATTATTCCCTTTATGGGAAAAATTATTAAATTACAGTGGCATTACAGTATAATTTCCTTTAAAAGGCATAAAATTAACAGGACTGGCATTTTTCCTGTCACTACAGAGGCACTGAAATATGGCTTATCAAGAGTCTTATGAAACATTGTCAACTAGCATCAGTAACCTAGGGCATTAAACAAGAACGCTTATGTATGCCTCATTGTGCCAACAAAAACGACTGAAGCGATGTAATGTAATGGAAGTTACACTTTACTGGTGTCTCAATCTCAAGAAACGAAATATTTAAAGGCTTTAAGCATGTCTCTAACATTGCTAGTATTTCTGTAATCATTTACAGAAACTGAAACAGATCCAGGTCGTTTTGTTTATAAGCTACAGTATCCGGACTTCTAAGTAAGTTACTATGGATTTCAAATCACTTTTGGGATATGACTTGGGTAGTCCAAGGTCAATAAAGCAGACAGGGTTTCTCTGTATTGTTTCGGAGGCTGTCGGTCCAGCCTGGCCTCGAACTCACAGAGGTCCGCCTGCCTCTGCCTCCCGAGTGCTGGGATTAAAGGCGTGCACCACCACCGCCCGGCTAAGCAAATTCTTTTTATCCAGTGCAAGTTCAATCACATCTAGCTTAAACCAGCACAGCTTCAACTCCACCCAGAGGGAATCTCTCTCTTGTCAGTAGGTGTTCCAATGCAGGTGTTTATAACACGTATGAGCAAAGCAACCTCAAGCCACTTAGGGATCCTAAGGCTAGCCCTGCCAAGCTAGGGCTGTGGGGTGTGAGATGAGAGCGAGTCAGGCCAGTGACAGCCTGGGGAAGATCTGTAAAAATCGAAGGGAACTACAGAGGATGAAAACTGCAAACAAGGAAGCGGAATTAACAGCGGCTCTGGCCACAGTTCAGAGGATTAAAGTCCAGCAGGTGTGGTGAGCATGCGCCCACGGCTGAGGACCCAGCCACCGCTGCTGTTCAGCTTAGCCACCGACGCCAGAGAGGAAGCGGGCGTGCCGGGGCCCTGGGCCCGGGCTGCGGATCGTCCCGCCTCTTCCGGTGGCCGGGGCGCCGACCCGCCCACACGGCTCCCCCAGAAGCCGTTCCCGAGGCGTCTACAGCGGCCGCGTCGGGACCTAGCCTTGCCCGGGAGGAGGGAGACGGAGCCGCTCCTCTTTACCTGATCAGGCCCGCCACCCTCATGGTGCGTGCGGTGCGCGTGCGTGCGGCAAGAGCGGACGACAGGCCCGGGCCCTGTAGCGGAGTCACTGACGCGCGGGTGGGTCCTCGGCTGGGTGTCTCCTGCACTGCCTGTCCGCGACCATCATACTGCCCCTTCAGCACCTTGCTGAACACCCGGGCGCACATTAGCTAGTCTCAACACCTGTTACCTGCTACATGGATATACTGGGCCCGGGGGGTGGAGGGATGCGTGAGGGTAGGGGGGATTTAGGCACAACTTAACCACCCAAGTAAGGGCACTGAAGCTGCCGGGGAGAAGGGCAAGGCCCTTGTTAAACTGGTTTGAGAGTGCTGGGTTTATCTGGCATGTAAACTCGAAGTTGCAAGCTCTTTCCTTTCTTCAGCAATCCCAGAAACCATTACTATCTGTCTATTTAACTTTGAGACTTCCATCTCTGCCCTGCGAGCCAGTGAGGCTACATGACGTAGACCTCGGGTACTGTCTTAGCATTTCCCTGGTACAGAAACGAATGAATTAACCACTCCATAAACCAGAAAGAAAATCCAATCTCAAATACATTTTTTAGTACTACCTCAGTGTCTTGAATGTACTAGTCACTGTTTGGGGCTCCTGGGATTAAATGGTGCTGCTGCAGACCAACCTCCCTACCCACACCCCTGATCAAGGTGTTTGTGTGGACATGAACTATACAATCTAAAGGGGAATCGTTTGTTAAAAAGTGGAAAATACTGTATCCACAGAGACGGGGGCGGGGGTAGTGAACTCCCCAAATCCCTCTTCCCAATATAACTATGTTGAATAAATTGCCCTTTCTGCTTCCGATTTTAATTTGGATCTTTTAATTGGATTTTAATTAAAGCCTGGACATGACTTGGGGCACAGTCTGTAGCACAACAGAGCTCATTAGTATAACTGGAAAGGAGTGACCAGGGAGTAATGGAAGAGGAAGTCAGGTGGTGGAGAGAAAAGATCGTGTAAGTTATTATAGGCCATTTCAGACTTTATAACAGAGGTATGGTTGAAGGTTCTGTAAGGACTACAGGGTTTAAAGCACATCAATTGGAAATGAAACCAATTTTAATAATCCAAGAGAGACGATGGAACATAAAAACAAGATGTGGGGTTTGACGAGAAATGAAAAGAGTATAGTTCTGTTTTAAAAACAGAGCCAATATAATCGAATAGACAGGTAATGGGGTTCTGAAGAAAGCCATGAGAAATGATAGTAATGTCATGAACTAAGGTTTAAGATACCTCAAATTGTGTCAGATACACAAAAGCATCCAGTTTTTCCATGCCACCATGCTTTTACTGGCCACAAATAGTTTGTATGGGTCACTATGGCATTGATAATTTGTATATGACTATCAGTATTTAAAATCAGGTGTGTTAAAAATTCTGTGATTAAGTGGGCGTTGGTGGCGCATGCCTTTTAATTCCAGCACTGGGGAGGCTGAAGCAGGCAGATCTCTGTGAGTTCACAGCCGGCCTGGTCTACAGAGCAAGTTCCAGGACAGCCTCCAAAACAATGCAGAGAAACCCTGTCTCAAAAAAACAAACAAATCTGTGATTGTTAAGTACTGACCAAATCAGGTTGGAGATAAAAACATGCAAATTAAACATTCGTAGTACAGTATATTAATTTTGCAAGTAACAATTTATGTGATGCATATGGCAAGGTCATTGGATTCAGCTCATTTAATTGAAAGGTAGTTACGACAGGATAAGACTTGAAAGATAAGGACAGAAGAAGTTGCTATATCTTCAAACAAGACATTAAACGGTTAGCCTTATCAGTAGAGAGGTTATGTTGATGAGAGGGGAAGATAATTTGGATGGTCAGGGTGATGCCTGGTTATCTAAGGTCAACAAGAAAAGCCTCTAACAAAAACCACAGTATCAGGAAGAGTGCCCCAACTGTTTGTCATTATTTTTACAAGGTTTATGAATCATTAATTAACATGTTGAAGTTTTTTTTATTATTTTTATTTATTTTTTTCTTCTCCAGATTTATTTTGGTAAAAAAAAATCAGATATAACCTTTCAAAAATTACATTAATGTTTAACATGCATTCAAATAACTTTCTTTTTTTTCCAGTTTAAATTTAGATAAGAAACGAGGTTGCTTCACAAGTCAGTTCCAGGTCCCGCTCCCATTCCCTCCCCTCCTCCCGTGCCATCCCCCCAACCCCCCCCCGTTATCCCCTCATTCCCCCAGGGAGGGTGAGGCCCTCCATGGGGGTGTCCATAGTCTGTCATTTCATATAGGGCAGGGCCTAGACCCTTCCCCAAGAGTTCAGGGTGAGAGTGCACCTCACATTGTTCTATGGGAGTCCAAAGTCCGTGTGTATACTTGGGATGGGTACTGATCTGCTGCCCAAGGCTCAATAGGTTCCCCAGGCCTCCTCATTGACACCCAAATTCAGGGGGTATTGATCAGTCCCATGCTGGATTCCCAGGCTGATGCCTGGGATTCAAGAGTTAACCTTTGTCTGGTCAGCTGTTTCTGACCAGAACAATAATCAATTTTGTATGGAAAAACAAAAGACCCAGGATAGCCAAAACAACCCTGTTCAACAAGGCAACGTCCGGAGGCATCACCATCCCTGACCTCAAGCTCTATTACAGAGCTATAGTCCTGAAAACAGCTTGGTATTGGCACAAAAATAGACAGGTAGACCAATGGAATCGAATTGAAAATCCGGGTATTAACCCACACACGTACGAACATCTGATCTTTGACAAAGAAGCTAAAAATATACAATGGAATAAAGAAAGCATCTTCAACAAATGGTGCTGGCATAATTGGAGACTGGCATGTAGAAGAATGCGGATCGATCCATGTTTATCACCATGCACAAAACTTAAGTCCAAATGGATCAAAGACCTCAACATAAATCCAGCCACACTGAACCTCTTAGAAGAGAAAGTGGGTGGTACCCTTGAAGGAATTGGTACAGGAGACAGCTTCCTGAACATAACACCAGTAGCACAGACAGTGAGATCAACAATTAATAAATGGAACCTACTGAAACTGAGAAGCTTCTGTAAGGCAAAGGACACAGTCAGCAAGACAAAAAGGCAGCCCACAGAATGGGAAAAAATATTCACTAATCCCACATCTGACAGAGGGTTGATCTCCAAAATTTACATGTTGAAGTTTTGATGAAGTAAATGTAAAGTTCCCCCAGACTCATTTTTTGTATTAAGAAAAAAAATGTCCTGGACACTTTTCAAGAGTGATGAGAAAATAACTTTCTCTCCTTAAAACTACTTAATAAGGATTATGTTTTGTTTCTCTCTGTTAGCTTCATGGTATGATAGCCTTAACAAAAATATTTACCTATAAGTGAGGATTAGCTATAAATATGGGGAAAATATGTTGAGGCTATTTACCAAGGTCAACCAGTTTTTAGAGGCTCCTCCAGATTCTTCCTACCACTCTTATATCATCCTTTTTAAATAAATAACTCCTTGTTAATATTTATTTATGTGTATACAGTCTTCTGCCTGCATGCCAGCAGAAGGCACCAGATCTCATTCAAGGTGGTTGTGAGCCACCATGTGGTTGTCGGAAATTGAACTCAGGACCTCTGGAAGAACAGTCAGTGCTCTTAACCGCTGAGCCTTCTCTCCAGCCCCTACATCATCCTTTGTATTGACCATTTTACCCCTTGAAATTTCTTTTTGTCAAAATTTTCAACCAATGTTTTGTCAACTAACAAAATTTCCTGGTTGATCTAGTATACAGATGCTAAATATATTGTCTCTTCTTAGAAACCTTTACTCTAAACCAAAGTTGTTCATTACAAGAACTGCAAATTGAGCTACAATGGCTTAGAAGTAGTATCTCATTTGCACTTACTCTTTGATAACAGTGCAAGGAAAGTTGGATCTGGTGCAATCTCTGTAGTGGATCTAAAAGCACAGCAACCAGACAATCAAAAACCATTCATAAAAATAGCAGTGACATAGCTCTTCCTTCCATGGTGTGTGTAATCTTGTATTTCTATGACATGAATATTGAGGCTAACCAGAGAAATGGCAGCCCTTGATACCCAGTTAACATCTCCCTACTGGTATGTGTGCTGTTCTCTATCCACCCCACATTCCCCTCAGCCTCAGCGTTCACCTAAGCTTATCTTTCTTACTGGTTTACCTGCCATTCCTAATGGGTCTCAGGCATTGTGCATTAGATTCGTTCTAGTCTTGGTCTGCTGCTTGTGTCATTTCACAGGTACAATTGAAAAAGGGCACAGTAGATAGCCTGAATTCCACATATAGGTGACTTTATCCCCCGTGTGCTGAAAAACCTCATTCCTCCTCATAATCGTTACTCCACTTTGAAAGATCCTTAAATACAGGGTACTTGCATAGCCCTCTATGAAGACAACAACCTACAAATATTTTTTTGGCTGAACTTGTGAGAGACAAAGAAGAAAGTTTTCAATAGATCCTTAGTCAATGGGCTTTCAACCTTTGTTTCCCAGATATGTGTTTTCCTACTAATGAGTGTCATATACAGGGATCTCTGATTTATTCCTTATGCCATGATCAGCCGCCCTTCAGATTCTTGTCTGAGCTACTGATTTACATGTGACTTAAGTTAACTAGCTTCATCTGAACAGCACAATATGTGCTACTTAGATACTTGCACCTGGCCCAATTTCATACTTACTTTTCTGTGAAGTGAGATTTTTTGTGTAGATGCTCTTCTCAGTGGGATTCCATGTCTAAATGGAACTCTGCCAGTAAACCATGGGGAGAGGTGTAGACAGAGCAGCCCCAGGTTTTAGCACTTTTTTTTGTGCCTGGTCAAAGGTTAGGAGAAGCTTGAAAGCATGGCCTGGATGAACTCTCTGATGAATCCAAAGATTGTCATCTGGTGGCTATCACCTGTGGTTTTAATAACTGATGCTAAAATAACTCTTGAGCTCATCTCCTCCGTGCTTGCCACAATGAAACAGAATGACTCCTCAAACCACATGAGAAGGAGCAGGAAATTTAGACTCTCACATTGTGCTCTGATCCAGCAAGAAACATACAGAGAAGAGTTTATTCAAGCAAGAATAGCATTTGAAGGAGAGCCAACCTAAATTTGTGAATGTCTAACTTAA